CCCCCCCCGAACCAGGGATTGAACTCAGGCCCTTGCGCTTGCTGGGGAAGTGCTTATTCTACTGAGCCATCTCCCTGCCCCTCATTTTATAGTATTGAAAATAAAACTGTCATTATCTTTGAGGACATTTCTAATGTGGGCATTTCCATTGTCATCCTCACTCTTAAGAACTCAGAGTAAGGAATGGAAACTGTAAAATAGATGGTTGTATAGGGTAGGTGAGTCTTAATTTATAATAAGAACTTGGGCCAATGCAATTTGAAGGAAATTGTATTCTGTCTTTATGTACTGGAGTAGTTTTGCCTACCTAAACTACTAAGGATTCAAACACAGCTGTCTGTGATCTCTCTCTCTCTCTCTCTCTCTCTCTCTCTCTCTCTCTCTCTCTTCCTCCCACCCCCCTCGTCCCTTCCCTCTCTTCCCCTCCTCTGTCTCTGTGTCTCTTTCTTTTTCTTACCTCTGTGTCTCTATCTCTGTCATAGATAGATAGATAGATAGATAGATAGATAGATAGATAGATAGATAATTTCAGGCCAAGTTTTCTTATGTCTAAAATGGCACTACTACTACTACTACTACTACTACTACTACTACTAAAAATAATAATAATATCTGAATTTTGGTATGGCTAAGTAAATAGCATAAAAATCTAGCATTGAGTTGGTAAGATAGCTCAGTGGACTAAATCATCTGCTTGGGCAAGTGCAGGGGCTGTGGTTCAATACCCAGCACCACTTGCAGCACCAGCCCTACCCCCAGGGCAGGCCAGGCCAGCCAGAGTTTTGGCATAGTGGTGTATGCCAGTAATCCCAGCACTAGGGAGGCTGAAAGCAGGAGGATCACAAGTCCGAGCTGCGTAGTGAAAGCCTGCAATAACCAAATACATTAAAAAAAAAATCTAGCATTTTATTTGGCACATGGTACAAAATAAGTAGTATTCATAATTAGTTTTGAAGTGTGTGTTTATGAGAAATGCTGGTGAATGTAATTTACTTAAACTTTTAAAAAGCATATATCAGAGCTTAGCAATAAGACCTGTCAAAAAGATAGTCTGGCCTGTGGTGGTGGTGGTGGGGCACAGGATATTCTAACAATGATCAACTAAATGCTTAGTAACACATGATTCACTGGGTAAAAGAGTTGGAATAACACAAATCACTAGAATTAATTTTGGTTTTAATCTAGTATTAGCTTGACAATATATATCTGGATAAAGGTTAATAAAGAGTAAAATTCTTAAGGTTTTAATGGCATCAGTTTTTACCATCACAAAATGATGAGCAGTCAATACAGAAATATTTGTAGCTCTTTAAGCACATCTACCCTCTGAAAAGTAGTCGAGCTTCACTATGAGAAAATAACAGGAATTATACTAATGGTAAATAAGATTAAAGTTATATTTACAGTGAAGGTTCTCTGACAAGTATGGTATCTTGGAAAGTGGGTTTTGGAGTTATAAAAATTAGTTCCAATTGTAGGAAATAATCTGATGCTAATTATGGATGTCTTTGGGAAGATATTGTTTATATCAAGAATGTCACCCCAAAGCCTCTTGTCTTCAGAGGGGACCTTTTATTTTTCCTTAATTGGGTTTATCAGTACCTTTCAGGCCATAATGATCATATCCACCACAGGCAGACCACGTACCTGAGCATGGCATAGCTGGTTTCTTTTTTCCCCATTCCCAGGTTCTCCCTTCACCCTCACTTCCCCTTCCTATTCACAAGAGCTCTCCTCACCTAGCCCTTCCACCACGCCGTTTCCATCTTGAAGTCTGTCACCACAGATCGAAACTTCTAAACTTGTGAGCCAAAATAAACCTTTCTTCCTTTAAGATGTGGGTGTGGAGTATTGCGTCTTGGTAATGAAGAAAATGACTGAGCAGTGATGGCTTATAATGCTCAGCTGAAATAATCCAAGTGTTAAACATTAATAGAAAAGGGTTAAATATAATGTATAAAATATTTTTTATCCTTTGTGCAATATACTAAGTACATTATAAAGTAAAGAAGCAATTATAACAGGAACCTGTAATTCAGAGGAAAATAGATACATTCAGAGAGAATAATGGCAAAATTGGTAGTAGGGTTTCCCAGGGAGCATTAAAAAATAAACTAGGCAATTTAGAAAAGGATATATTGACATCTAGAATATATGGAAAGCATAAATGGGAAAATATTCAACAAATTCTTTAATTCTAGAAATGTAATTTCCTAAAATTCAAATATTGTGTAATTAAAATTTGTTTAAAGGCAAATAGGCAGCATTATTTAATAAAACAGGTAATAAAAAGTGAAATGTATTAATTGTAATAGTAGGAGAATTAGAGGTACAAACTGATTTAAAATAGTTTTGATGGAGTTATCGATAATAAATTTTGGCTTTTAGTAAGTAAAGATGTAGACATTTGGTATATATTTCTGTCTTGCAATTAATCTCATGTATTGTAGGTATCTACCTAGGCTTCAGGGACTTGAAAATCTTTCAAAATTATACAATATTTGATACAATATTTGATATGCACATTGTTTTGCTTAGAAATGATCTCTAACTGGTGTATAATTTTCATCAGGTTCTCACAGGAATTCATAGCTATCCCAAATTTCCTAAAACTGCTCTATACAAAAGTTAAGAACTTTGGATATAAGGCAAAGAGATTATGTAATGTGATGGATACAGTAAGTGGTTTAGACACCTTGATATCTCAGCCTGATCAGTCTGGATGTGTCAAAAGACTGGATGGTGAAAGTTTACATAAAAGAGACAAGTGGTATGATTTTAGGGCTCTGGGAAGATAAAAATCCTCTAGTAGAATGTAATATCCTCTGGGAACTGAGACAGAGAACTTCTCTGGGCAGTCTGTATTTATTTGGTCTTAAAACAAAGGAAGGGGATACTGAAAAAAGTGCAGAGAAACTGAGGAAGACCTTGGGAATCAGTACAAAGACTTCTCCAAGTAGTAACTTATGCTAAATAGGAGAACTGTCTAATCTCCAGGTTGACATTCACTGCAGGGGTGAGATATCTGCAGCTACAGTCTCTGTCTACTTAACTGGGATTGAAGCCGGGTATCCTCAGCTGTGGCCTTGTCCTTGGAGGTGTCACAGTCTCACAGACCACTATAGGCCTCAGCTAGGACCAGTGAGTCATAGAGGTTCACTTACTATGAATCCACTGCCCGTCTCCTCTCAAGGGGCCTAGGCCTGGGACAGACTCATAAGCAGACAGAGCAAGTCAATTGATTAATTTTAAATATTGCTTAGAGCAGCTTCGTAGTGGTCTCCATCAAGTTGATCATTTATTAATTTCATTGCTGTATAGGAGTTTTTTTATTGGTAAAATTCAACATAAATATTTGTTGTAAAGATCAACAATGATAATATATAATAAGGAAATAAGTTTTTGGTAGACCCTACATAGTTGCTATAAAGTACTAGACTATAAGGTGAGTTTGACTTTAGAGATGTTTTGTTTGGCCCACACAGTTGTTTAATTTTGAATTAATTCCAAGTACATAAAAATAAGGATATTTTATATAAAAATATAGATTTTGAGTTTTTCTGAAAAACTTAGACACTAACCTGGCAATGCTGAACCTCTATCTCCTCTCTGCAGCAGCTGACTGGAACAGAGTTATGGTTACTCCCTAAAAAAGGGGTTGGGGCCAGCAAGATAGCTCAGTGTTCAAAAGTGACTGCTTAGGCAAGCTTAGGCAAGCACAGGGATTGCAGTTCGATACCCGGCACCATGTACAGCACCAGCCCTGCCCACAGGGCAGACTGAGATGGCCACAGAGTATAGGTGTAGTGGTATACACCTGTAATCTCATTGGGGAGGCTGAAAACAAGAGGATTAGTACAAGTCCAAGTTGCACAGTGAGACCCTATGGCAAATACATAAAAAAAGACCCTCAATCTAGGAAAGGAAGTCAGTGCTCTTGTGGGCCACCATCTCAATGTTGCTGGCAAGTCCAGATTGCCTGACACATTGGTAACATCAATTTTGGGATCCATGTCCCAATATGTCTCTGGGATTAAGGCAATGAAGTCTATGCTTATAGCAGAGGACAGGAGGACATAAAATGAACTGGGAGCTGTCCCATACCACGAGGCATTTATGGCCACATGTGTCAACATCAGGGAATCCCTCCTCCTGGGATCCAGGAGGAAGTCTCTCAAAACCAGCAGGCAAAGGTACTTTCCCCACATCAACCCAGCTTTGGAGACACTGTACTACTGACCCGTGATCCTTCCTCTGAAACAACCAAGAGGTTGTGTACTAACAGCATAGCTTTAAAAAAAAGTAAAACAACACTCTGCATATTTATAAAACTTGATAAAAATATTATTTCAAATCGTACAGTCACCAGAAGTACACAGTTACCAAAAGTGTGCACGGTTCACTTGGCATCTCCAGCACCTTCAGCTGGAGTCTGTGTTGGCAGCTCCATGTTCTGCAGGGCTATTCCCCTCCTTACTGACATCAGCTTTTCCCTTTTACCCTTTGGGCACCTTCTCTCCCTTCTTTGCAGGGGCCTTTTTAGCCTTGGGCTCTGGTTTTGGAGGAGCTGGTTTAGCAGACAGCCTTGCAGATCTTCCCTGTGGTTCGTCCTTTGCCTTAGCTTTATTACTTTAGCATCCCCTTTAGCCTTTTTCTTGGGAATGGTGGTGACGGCAGTGGGACCAGGTGCTGGACATGAGATGCAGCACCGCACAGCTTTGGGTGATCTGGTGATCCTTCTCCACACTGCTCCTAAAATTAAGGTATAAAAAAAGAAAATTATAGGAGAAAAAGACTGAAAATTAAAATTATCCTGCATTAGTTTTTTAGTAAGTTGTGCAAACACCAGCATTATTTAGCTTCTAGCAGCAAAACATCTTAGCCTAACTCACTTTCAACAAAATTCCAATGTGGCCAGAAGAGTATTGTTTTAGAATACAGCTATTTCATTTTTTTTTCAAAGAATTAAGTGTATGAAAATAAACCAGGACTCATGTATGGTGGCACATGATTGTGATTCCAGCACTCACAAGTTCAAGTCCAGCCTGAGGAACAAATAATTTAGACCCTGTCTGAAAATTTAAAAAATTATAAAGAACGGGGGATGGAGCTAAGTGCAAGAGCCCTGGTTTCAATCCCAGGTATGACAAAAAGAAAAAAGAGAAAAAAAAAATAAGATGGATTGAATTTTATTTATTTATTTACTTTGTTTGTTTGAGACTGGGTCTTGCTATGCAGTTCAGGCTGGTTTTGAACTCACTATGTTGCTGCCCAGGGTAGCCTTGGACCAAAGGTAATCCTCCTGCATCAGCCTCCCTAGTGCTGGGATTACAGGCATGCACCACCATGCTGGGCTTTGTGTTTTATTTTTAAGATGAAGACTTCTAAAGCATTTAAATTGCTGACTTCTCAAAACAATTTACTACTTGGGTATATACTTTTTAAGAATCAAGTTACTGCTTTATTTTATAAGAAGACATTTTAGGGAACCATTAGAGGTTTTTAAGCAAAGAAATAATATAATGAGATTTGTGGTTTTGGAAAGATTTCAGAGTGTAGGTTGAATATCCCTTTTCCAAAATGCTCGGGGTCAGAATCATTTTAATTGCTGAAGTTTTTGAATTTTGAATTATTTGTAAATGCATAATGTTTGGCAATGGAACCCAAGTCTAAACATACAATACATTTATCATCCTTACATACCTTATACATACAGTCTGAAGGTAATCTCACATAAAATTTATATCAACTTTCAGATGACTTCAAACCTGCTTCTATTGACACTTCTTGTGAAGGCTATCTGGAGGTTGGCAAAAGTGAACAAGTGACAATAACCCTGCCAAATATAGAAGTAAGTATTCCTGTACATTCAGACTACAGTGATTTTTTTTTTTGCCGGATTTCCATTAAATTTAAATGAAAACAATTGCACAGTACATTAGCTAATTAATAAGCACAGAACAGCAAAAATCCATTTTTTCAATTCTTTTGGATGAAACAATCTTAAAATACTCTTATCGATTAAATAATTTTAAGAACTGTCATAGAAAGTGATTTGAAGGGCCGACCAAATAGCTCAGCGGATTAAAGCGCCTGCTTAGGTAGACAGGGGCAGGGAGTTCAATCCCCAGGCCTGCCTTGCTGGCCCCACCCCCGGGGCACACTGAGATAGCGTTTGAGACTGGGCGTGGTGCACACCTGTAATCCCAGCACTTGGGAGGCTGAACATGGGTGGATCACTACAAATCCAATCTATGCAGTGAGACCCTGTAGATCCTGTCCTAAAAAGAAAAAAAAATGATTTGAAAAAAATGAAGATCTGAACAAATGTTTATCAAATTCTAATTATGAGCCATATTTTATACTCTTCAGTAAGGACAGTAAGGACCATAACATGTGTCTTGCATAGTTCTAACTTGTCGTAGCATGCAGACACAACACTTCTAGAAGTTCAAGATAGCAAATACAAAATTTCTGCACAAATGTAATCAAATACCTTGCTTTGCAGAATCTCAGAGAATTGCACAAAGCAAACAATAATTGAGCTACACCAATAATTGAGTTGCACAAGTAGGATTTTAGTAGGCAGGCAAGGAGTAGGATTATCTAGTCAAATAGAACAATATGTGAAGGGCTACCGTGTTGAAAACACAAGGAGTTTGTGGAACAAATAACTTTGTCTTAACCATAGTATAATGAAAAATGCCCAGCAGGCCTAAAAACTGGGACAGTAGGTTGGGATCAGATTGTGAAAGATCTTTTATGGTATAATGTAGAATTTAAATTTTATCTTCTGGATATTCAAGACCCCTTAGAAATTTTTAAGCAAAACAGTACACTGATTAGATTTGTGGCACTGGAAGAATTTCAGAGTATACCTTACGCAAAATACTAGGGACCAAAAGTGTTTCAGATTCCTAAATTGTTTGGATTTGGGAACATTTGCAAGTATATAATGAGATATCTTGAGACTAGTACCTAAGTGTAAATCATTTACCTTCCATATGCAACTTATGCACATAATCTGAAGATAATTTTATGTGACATTTGTAATAATTTGTGTATGAAACACTTTCAGGGTTTAGAATTTCCTACTTGTTGTGTCATGTTAGAGTTCAAACAGTTACGGATTTTGAATTTTTAGACAAAAAAATTGTCTGATGAAAATAGATATATATAGATACTTCTCCAAAGAAGAAATACAGATGACCGAAGAGCCACATGAAAAAGATGGCCAGTATCACTAGTCATCAGGGAAAAACAAATGAAAACTATAATGAGGTATCACCTTATTCAAATAAGGATGGCTATTATCAAAAGGTTGAAGAAAATAAATACTGGCCAGGCTGTGGAGAAAAAGGAACCCTTGTGCATTGTTGGTGGAAATATGCACTGGTGTTGGCATTATGCAAAAACAGTATGGTGATTATGCAGAAAACTGTAAATAGAACTACCATAGGACCTGGCAATATCACTCTTTGCTATATGCAAAGGTAATGCAATTCATATATTGAAGAAACATATACAAGCGAAGCCTGTGTTCAATTCATCATAATTCATAATAACCAAAAAATGGAGACAACTTTAGGATCTACAAAGCAATGAATAGATAACAAAAATGTACATGAACATAATGTAATATTATGTGTTCATTGAAAAAAGAATGAAATCCTGCCATTGGGAACATGTATGGAACTAGAGACCACCAGGTGGAGTAAGTCAGGCATAGAATAGCAAGTGTCATATGATCCTGCTCATCTTGAATCTAAAGAAGTTGATCTCTTGTGATGGAGAGAAGGGGAAAAAAACAGGAAAGGATAAAATATATATATTTTTATATGCAGTTAAGATAGTTATATAGCTAGTTTCTTTCCGATCATTGAAAAGAAAAGTGCTAATATTGTTTGGACAAGATATACCTCTATCTTGTGCTCTGAATAACTGGTACAAAGACAACAACAAGCAATGTATTTATTATTATTATTATTATTATTATTATTATTATTATTATTATTTTAAATTTATTTAGTGTGTGTGTGTGTGTGTGTGTGTGGGGCCAGCTCAGTCCACCAGGGGGCGCGGCTGGCTGGCATATGGTGCTGGGGGATTGAACCGCGGTCCCTGCACTTTGCCAAGCTTGTTCCAAGTAGGTGCTTTAGACCACTGAGCCATCTCCCCAGCCCCTGTATTAATTATTATAACTCTCCTACTAACCTGCTTTGAAACTGTTTCACTGTTATTTTTATTTTTCTCTTTAAAAAATAAAAATAAAAAAGTTGATCTCACAGCAGCTGAGAGTAGAATAATGGTTACTGAAGGTGAGGCAGAGTTTGGAGCAGGGATGGTCACCAGCAGGAACTAAATGTTAGAGTACTTTAAGTTTGTTTTTTAAGTACATAAAGATATTTAAGGTTGGGAACCAATATGATTAGATTCCCCTATCAGCCAAAATTAAAGGTTAAGAATGTTGCTCAGTTTAATGAGAAAGAGTCTGGTTTTATAAAACTTCCTTAAAGGATGGAAGACAAATATAGAAATTACGGAAACTTTTGACCTATGACCAGAAGTTGTTCATGTTTTAGAACTGAACCTTCATTACGTGTTTGTAAAGCCCTTCTGCATATAATCACCTTTAAGAAAAACATATTGCACAAATCTCCCATTCACTATAATTTGCAGTCCTTCGGTTCCTTTTAGGGGTATATATCTTGCTTATGTTCAAGACATCTAAAAAAGAACTCACCAGCCCCAGAGCCAGTTGTGTTGTCATGATCATGTTGTTAGCCGTCCGGTTTATCAGGGTAGTTGAACACTCTACAACTTACCTTTCCAGAGTCACCCTAGAAATGTTTTTATGTGCTGTGCATTCTTAATTTCCTGCAGATGATTTTAGTCTCAGGGAGAAGTTTTAAAAAACCAAACAAACCTGTTCCTTTCTTTCCTTTTCATCATTTTCTCTTTAAACCTCTCAGAAGTTTATAACCTACCTTCCCGGGCTGAGGATATGGTTCAGTGGGGAAGAGGGACGGCTTAGTAGCACAAGTACCTGCTTGGCAAGCACAAGGTTCTGAATTCAATTGCCAGTACTACAATGAATAAATAAATAAGTAGATAAATAAATCAATCCTACCTCCCCATATAATTTCAGTCACTAAACTTATCTCATACTCCCTCTAGTGGTCATTTAGTAGATTTTTAACAATTATTTAATTAATGGCATACCTTTAATCTTGTAAGTCATATTTTTCTAATTTGATTTTTTTTGTATTTATTTATTTTTTAAAGAGAGTACAAAATAGTATTAAAACAGAAAAAATTACAAGTGATACAGAATTTCAATTAACAAAATAATATAAATTTCATAGTATTTGTCGCATGGTGTTTCTTCCACCCAGTTACTCATTACCAGATATATGCATGTAAAATTGTAAAAAGAAAGAAATTAAGAAGAGAAAAAGTACAGTTGAAAAAAGGAGACAAACAAATTAAGAATTATCTGCTCCTTTCCATAAACCAACAGAAATGTTCAGTACAGTTGTCTAAACCATCCTGCTTTATTGATGTAATATTTTATCTGATAAAATTATCATAACCAGTGGTTTAAAAATCCAGTACACATATAAAGCTCAAAATCAAGCTCAGAATATTGCTTAAGAGTACCTGTTTGTGGAATAAAGCAAGGAAATAATTAATTTTCCTCAGTTTTGGAGGTGGTAGAGGTGCGCCTAGGTAATTGGTGTAAGAGAAAACAGTATGAAGAATCTTCACGTATTAATCACTGTTTTATCACCACTGTGCCCACCTTAGACAGTTTCAAGCAATTGTCAGGCATTATGCCATTTCTCATATTAGTATTTATGAATCTCTAAGGACAGTTTTATTTATATTTATGCTATGACCACACCTAGCACAATCATAGTTGCTTTATATTCACATTTTCATGATAGTCTCAAAATTTTCTTTCTTTTTCTTTTTTTAGTTTATTTGGGTTTTGAGGGGTTTTGTTTTTTGAGACAGAGTCTCACACTATGCACAGCAGGCTCTCCTGAAATGCATTGGTAGCCCAGACTAACCTCGAACTCGTGAGCTGTTCTCCTGCCTCCGCCTCCCAAGAGCTGAGATGACGCGCATGCTCCACCACACCTGGCAAAGACATCTTTTAAAGACATTTGTCTTTAAAACATCTTAGTTAGAATCCAAATAAGATTCCTGCATTGTATTTGGGTGTTGAATTCCTGTCTCTTTTCGTTTGTGAAAGGCCTTTCTCTTTCCAAAGCCATTAGTTTATTGGAAAATCTAGATTAAAAATACTTCTAGTAATTAGTATTACTTAACTTGTTTTTATATCCCTCATATTATCTATAAATGGTAGTTATAGACTTTTTTTTAAGTGTGTGGTACATAATGCTTACACCCCTCATGTGGATTTGCTCCGTGTGCCTCATATATCCTAAGACCGCTTTTCACACCTTTCCCTTCCCCTTCCCCAACCCTGATTTCCTTCCTTTTAGGGATGTGTAGATCAATAGTACATAATTTTTATATTCCCATTAGAGATCTAAACTCTTGATGAGCATCATAGATCCTTTGGGGTTTGATGAGAATTACATTCTGTGAAGGTTGAGCGGTTTTTTTGGTTGTTGTTGTTTTTTTTTCCAAAATACTGAAATGGATGATGCGGTGTACTCTCCTTTACATCATGAAGCATATGATGTGTGTTTTTCTCTGTGAGTTTAGTTAATAGATGTTTCTTGTTAGCATTAATTTTTCTTAATCTTCATAGGGTGATACAATTTTAGGAGAATACCAGTTTTTTAATATTAAATTTGTGAAGCAGTAAGGAAAGAGAGGAACTACGGGAAATGTGATTCAAGGCTTCTGTTTCCTTACCTATAAAATATATTAATTATATTAGATTGAATCCCAATGCCTATTATAAACCAATGAAATAAATTACTGATTCATGGTATCTCCCCCTTTCCCTCAATAAAAGCTACTTTGAGTGGTTAACCTTTTTCTTTTTCTTTTTCTCTTTCTTTCTTTCTTTCTTTCTTTTTTTTTTTTTTCAGAACCGGGGATTGAACTCAGGCCCTTCAGCTTGCCATGGAAGTGCTTATTCCACTGAGCATTCTCCCCAGCCCCTAACCTTTTTCTTATACTATCTTATTTTTAAACCAGTCTTGGTTGCAGGGTACTAAGGTTAACTATTTTATAATTGATGTATGTAACATGAATCCAGAAATACTATAGTGGAAGAACTCGACCCCAGTCCACCTGAATTTCTATAATACATTTCAAGTAATGATAATTAACTTTTTAAATAGGGTTCAACCACACCAGAAACTGTGTTTAAAGGTTCAAAGAAACCATACTTAAAGGAATGCATTTTGATTATTAACCATGATACTGGAGAATGTCGACTAGAAAAACTAAGCAGCAACATCACTGTAAAAAAGACAAGGTAGGTGGTTCAATGAGACACATTATTTCATAAACATTTTGAAGGAAATGGCAGGAAAGAAATCCGATTAAAATCTGGTTTTTATGTAAGGTTATTTCTACATGTTAAAAAACCTTTTAATCTTCGACTTTAAATTTGTTGAAGATCCTTAGCCAGATTTTGCCCGTGGTGTATGAAAGCTTGTTTTGTTACTGAGTGCTTGCCTTGTATATAGGTGCATGTTTTATCCTGTTTTATCCTTGTAGATGCTTTCACAGAACTGGGCTGAAAGGCACGATGTATGTGTTCCAAAATAGTTTCATCTTTGCTAGTAAAAATGTGTTTTGTTCTTAGGTTATGTAAGGCACTGTGAAAATGAATTGGTTATATAAACAGTAATCTCAAGACTTCTGTGTTTTAATCAGATTAACAGACCAATGAGCAAGACAGTAGAAACATGTCACATCCTCTTTGGAAGTATAAGGTGAATGATGTACCATGCACTATCGGGGCACTTGGTGTAAAAGCTGTGCAGATAGTACGGACAAAATTGCTCTAGGAATTAAGAGAAGGGAGAGGGCGTAATTGAGTAGGACATTCAAGGAAACCGGATTGGTGATGTCTCTTGAGAGGATGTTAGTTGGGATCACAAAAAATACTTTTGAGTGTTTATTAAAAATAAGTCAAAGTCCAGCCTCAGCTCAGGGAAGGAGCTTGGAAAGATGTTTATTCATATCCCTCCATCTCTCCTTCGCCAAGCTTCCTTGATTCTTACTATTAAGTTTGTTCCCAGTGTAGTACACACCTGTAAGCCCAGCTGGGAAGCTGAGGCAGAGGATCTCAAGTTCATGTCCATGGGGGGGTGTAATTTAGGATTTAATGAGGCTCTATTTCAAAATAAAACATTTTAAAAAATGGCTGAGAACGAAGTTCATTGTTCAATGAACACTGAATGAATTTTCTGTGAATGAAGCTCTGGATTTGATCTCCAAGTATCACACACAAAAAAACTAAAATTGATCAGAAAAGGTACAAGGTTAAAGGATATAAGTGAGGTTTTGGAGGCAGGACTATATCTACCTTTTCAAGCCAGTAAGTATGACCTCTTTGAACAGAGCAGAGGTTCTCTCTTTACTTGGGTATGAATTTTGGAAAGTGGGGGATAATGTTTATAGTGGTAAAGATGTCAGAGTTAAGGTTGTAAAGGTGGGTTCAGGTTAATGCCTTCAATATTAACTCAGAAATTAGGACTTTTGCTTGTAAGCAGTGATTACATAGTTCGAGTTTTTACACCAGATGTTGTCATGTTTACAGTTCTGTTTTGAAACAACAAAGAAACTAAATAAAACAATGTGGAAAACAGGAAAATGTATAAACCAGAATTTTTGAGAGTGAACATTAAAAGTGAGCTTTTAAGGCTGGGACCTGGTGATGCACATCTGTAATACCAACCCTCAGAAGGCTGAGGCGGGGGATCACTGTGAGTGCAAGGCCAGCCTGGGCTACAGCGTGAGTCCTAGGCCAGCCTGCACTGTATAGTGAAACCTTGTCTCAAAGCCAAAAATAGTGAGCTGAGAACAGACTTAAATAGTAAGAATCAAAGAAGCTGGGGGAAGGAGAGATGAAAGGATATGAATAAATATTTTTCCAACCTTCTTCTGTGAGCTGAGGTTGGACTTTGACTTATTTAAATACTTTGTAAAAGAAGAACCATAGAGGCAGAGGTCAAGCATAATTTTGTTATATACTTTTTTTTGTTACTCTTATATTAAAGATGTTGAAAGAAGAGTATATGAATCTCATTTATTAACATGTCTGTCTTAAAATTATGAATCGGATTTGAGTTAAAATTATGTGTTATCTGCTCCACTTGAGGAGTGGTTTTGTTTTCATTCATATTTCCCCATCACCTGCACTGTATGCATGCCGTGTATATAGTAGGTACTTGATAGAAGCAAAGCAAAGCAAAATAAAACTTGTTAAATGACATCTCATTTTAATTTTTGAACATCATTTTAACAGTTTCTAAGAAAAACTGTAAATGGTCAAACAGTAAGTTTGTGAGTTGAAACTGTTACATTGCTATCAGAGTTGTTTTGATTTTTGAGATTCTTAATTGCAGGGTTGAAGGAAGCAGTAGAGTTCACCATTCTGTGGACCAGCAGCAGCAACAACACATGCGAAATTCAAGTAGGGCTCCCAATTTTGTAAAGCATTCTCCATCTGAAGACAAGATGTCCCCAACATCTCTAATGGATGATATTGAAAGAGGTAAAATCTCAGTGTATACAGTGTTTCCTTTATAAGTGATAATTAAGAGATATTAAAAAAAATTAAAGATTATTTATATACTTAGTTGATATTGGGTCTCACTCTGCAGCTCAGACTCATAGTGATCCTCTGTCTCAGCCTCCCCAGCACTGGCATTAGAGTCTGGTCACCATACCTGATTGTGGTGGCCAGCTTATCATGGCTGGGGGCTCGACATGAGGCACTGGGGATCAAACTCAGGTCCTTGCGCTTGCCAGGCTGGTGGTTAGACTGCCAAGCTATTTCCCTGGCTCAAAAAAATTATTTTTCATTTGATTAATTAAGTTACTTTTATAACTGCATTCTTATGTAACAAGAGTATAGCTTATGATTTATGTAAATAAGGCTGTTTCTATGTAAAATAATAGATTATTATTATTCTCTGAAAAATGTGATGTGTACTTGCATGAAATTAGAATTTTCTACTTTTTGGTAGCCATGATTATTTGTAATTAAATTTCCACAACTTTTTCCTGTCAAAAAACTTTGTAAATAGTCAGTTTATAGATGTCTTGGGTGCCACTCACACACCGTATGATCTTTTTGAAAGTAAGAAAATTTTAATTTTCTTTTTTTTTTAGCTAAAGTTAGGATGTTAAAAAAAAAAAAAAAGTAAGGGGCCGGGGAGATGGCTCAGTAGAATAAGCGCTTCCCTGGCAAGCACAAGGGCCTGAGTTCAATCCCTGGTTCTGCAAAAAAATAAACTAAAATAAAGTTAGGATGTTGATATTATAGTAATTGTGGCAGCAGTGAGACCAGTCACCAAAATGTATTTGCCACTATATTTTGCCTTCATAATTAGCATGCAGCTGTCCAATTCCCCTTCAAGCACCAGTACAGTATTCATTCTTTTATGGGTTAGTAGTCCTTATCCAAACAGTAAAGAAATCATCAGGCTAGAACCCTTGTGGTTGGAAGAGATCTTAAATTTTTTTTTACATTGTAAGTGTTTCCAAAATGGTTTGAGTCATTAAGTCATGATATTATTCTCTCTCTCATAGATAGATAGATAGATAGATAGATAGATAGATAGACTGGGATAGAGAGTGAAGAGATTAAAGAGGAAGTTCAAGCGAATTTTCTTATTAAAATATTAAATTACCTATAAGCCTTGGGCCATCAAGACAATAATGAAGCTACAAGTAGCATTTTTTATTATCTAAGACAGGCCATGGTGCCTGCCTGGCAAACACAAGGTCCTGAATTTGATTCCATATCTATATCCTATATCTATATCTATATCTATATCTATATCTATATCTATATCTATATCTATATGTCCAAGGATATATTATGTAAGACAGGTTCCAAAAATCAGAGTCCTTCTTACTAAATACTAAAAGGAATTGATTGTGTGGAACCTATTCTAGAGAACATTAAATTACATAGTATACTCGACAATAACTTCATAATGCAAGTAAAAGTTACCTCATATGGCGATTTTGTCACAAACCTAAAGCACTGTATTGAAGCAATGAAAAACAGCTGCAGAGGTAAGTTAACATAATCTAATAAAGCTTTCTTGTTCTAACTTTGTATGAAAATGGAACATCATTTACTTTGATGTGTATAACATATTCCTTAGATTATAATCTACCCAAAAGAGAAGCAAGTAATAAAAATGAAAAGCAAACTGAGTGAAGTTGAACAGTGCAGAATATCAATGAAGCAAAAGGCAGGTCATCAAAAAATTTGTACTGTTGATAAACTTCTAGACAGAGATAAAAAGAAAAAGATACAAAGCACTAGAATCAGAAATGTAATGTAAAGGCCAGATGTGGTGGTGCATGCCTGTAATCCCAGTGCTGAGGAGGTTGAAACAGTTTGAACTGCATAGTGAGACCCTGTACCAAATACATAAAGATAAAAATAAAATAAAATTTAAGAGAAATGTAATGTCTACTTCTATAACCAGGAGAGTTATGAGATTCAGGAGCCATTAAAATTATAAAGGAATTGGGCCGGCCAGATAGCTCAGTGGTTTAAAGCACCTGCTTAGGCAGACACAGGGACCAGGATTCGATCCCCAGCATGCTGTGCCAGCCCTGCCCCTGGGGCAAGCTGAGACTGATTGAGACTGGGCATGGTGGCATGCACCTGTAATCCCAGCTTTTAGAAGACTGAAAACAGGAGGATCACTATAAGTCTGATCTGTTTAGTGAGACCCTATAGACCATGTACTAAAAATAAATAAATTATAAAGGAATGTTGCAATTTAACCTTATTTATTTGATGATTGAAAGCTAAACTGCCAAAACTTATCCAAAACAAAGTAGACAATCTGAGTACATCTATTTAATATTACAGAAGTGGAATTAGTAAATAAATGCATGCAGAAAAGAAGTAGCCAAATTCTGATGGTTTCACTAGTAAAGTTTGCCAATCATTTAAAGAGAAGACTAAATTTATACAATCTCTTTCAAAAAGTAGAAAAGAAGTTGCTATGGTTGCTTTGAGGCTAGGTATCCTCAAAGGCCCATGTGTCAAAGGCTTGCTCTCCCCCGGCACTGCACTATTGAGAAGTGGTGGGAACTTCGTGGGTGGGGGAGCTAGTGGGAGTTTTGTGGTCACTGGTAACAGGCCATTAAAGGGGATCTGGGGGCACCACCCCCTCCCTTTACTTCTTGCTTCCCACGTGAGGTAAAGAGATTGATTTGCTGTGTGTACCCTGTTTATTTCTTCCCACAAGACACTTAAAAAGCAATGCCTCTGTCTCATCTTGGACTAAAATCTTGAAAAGCATGAGCCAAAATAATCCCTTTCATTTTATTAGCTGATTACTTTAGGTATATGGTACAATAATGGAAAGATAACACAGGAAAAAACATTAGTGAGCTCATTTTATGAGAGTTGTAGTACCCTGATATTAAAACCAAACAAACAGTACAAGATAAAGAAAACTGTAGTCCGATGTCCCTTAAGTTTAAAATTTAAAAAAAAAAAAAAAATCTTGTCTATAAGTACTTCACTCGAGAGCCTAAAGCAGGAAAATCACAAGTTTGGCCTCTCGGGACAATTAGTGACTTAGACGTCTCAAAATAAACAACGAAAGAAAATTTAACGGTTGGAGATGTAGTGTGAATTTAATCAGTATAATATTATAGAAAAAGAATTATGCAGCATGACCAGGACAACATTTATCTTTTCACATTGCTTATATACTTGAGGGCGGAATGAGAATGGGGGAAGACAGTTAACAAACAATCAAGTACAAATGCAAGTGAATTTCAGAAATGCCTCCTGAAGAAAATAAAGCAGGTCAGTCTAAGCGCCTAATCAGGGGTCTAAGCGCTTGCCTGGAAGCGCAAGGACCCCAGTCCCTGCGCTTGCCTAAGCAGGCGCTTAATCCGCTGAGCTATCTCTCTGGCCCAGGTGTCGTTTTATAACCACTTTATAAAAGCGAAAAACTGGTGGTGCACTTCTGTAACCCAGCGCTCAGGAAGCTGAGATAGGAGGATCAATGTGAGTTTGAGGCCAGCTGAACTACATAGTGAGACCCTATTTCAAGCGCACGCGCACACACACACACACACGCACACACACAATTATAGGACTCATTTGTAGGAAAAATGAATATGTTTTGAGACTAATGTTAAGTGAAATTAGACTCACAATCTTAAATATATGATTTCTCTTACATGAGAACCCAAATTTAAATAAATTTAAATAAAGTGCAAAATAAAGATTAAAAAAATAGGCAACAGTGAGAGGGTGGTGGGGGACGGAGGAAGGAGAGGGAAGTGAGATAAAAAGGGTGAGGTTGTGAAGTGTTGTGTACTTGTGCTGGAGAAGGAGAGGTGCTTTAAAAAGAATTAAGAAATGCCATGTACTGTACATGTACCTGTTCTCCATGATGAATGTAATCATGTACTACAAATGTACAATTTTTTTTAAAAGAGCTTGGGATGTCAGTGGGTTATACATAGTCAAATAATTAAGGGAAAGCCAGGTGTACCTAGAAGAATAAGGGAGTAAGCTAGAAATTATCAGTTAACTTAATACGAAAGTATACTAAGAAGGATATGAAATAACAGTATATGGGTATATTACCCATATATACTCAGTAACTGATTATATTACTCAGTGTTTCCCCTCAGGGTTTTTTGCTTAAAATTTTCTGTGCAACATTTGACATTCATGTTAAGACAAATGTTGATCTAACATCAATAGACTTGACCCTACTGGGTAGCTAGCAAACTTTTGCCACTCCACATCTACATAATTTGAATGATTGTGTAGCTAAAATCTTTCCAGCCATAATTTGTGTGTCTTACTAAACCTAAAAAAAAGTCATTATTGATCTTTTTATCTACAAAAATACAACCAAAGTTATAATGGGAACTGACTTTTCAAAAATTTTTAGAATATTTTAATTCCTCATTAAGGAAATGGGAAAAACCTAAAATGAAGCTTCATCAAATGTTATCCAGGATGACTAGGGGATGAATGAAATTTTTCTGTGTGTATCACTTGCACTGTATATAGTAAGTGAATAAGAAAAGAATTGGAAGACAGTTTCTGCTGAAATAAAATTTCATTTTCACAGCTTTAATTGTTCATGTTATGATATATTATTTGAGTTGCTTGCATATTGAGGACAGTGGTATAATTACATGAGAAGATTCAACTTAAGCTGCCTATGTCTTAATTCTTATAGTCTCATCAGTGAAGTGTGGCTTAATGATTTAGGAGTTCTTTTAAAGTAAAATGTTTTAAATGGTGTCAATGTATATAGCTTTATTTTTTATTAAGGATTTCTTAGAAAACTAATGTGATCAACTTTTATTACTTCTAGTCAATGTTATTTATTTAATGTACCTATTTCTCTTTTGTTTCCAGAACTAAAGGCAGAAGCTAGTCTCATGGACCAAATGAGTAGCTGTGATAGTTCATCAGATTCCACAAGTTCCTCGTCCTCAAGTAGTGAGGATAGTTCCAGTGGGTCAGAGGATGAAGAGGGCAGATCTTCTAATCCAGGGAATTATATCTCAGAACATCCTACCATGTCTGCCATACCACAGTACAGGACTTCTGATACAGATGCTGGTCATAATGGATTTCATGACAACAGTCGTCTTCTGATGAATACTTTGCGTAAGTATATATAAACACAAGTAATTAGAAAAGAATTCAGAGGGTGGTCATACTGTTTATAATCTAAAAATTCAGATAAAAAAACAGATGTCAGAGTATCCACAAAGACAAGAGAAAAATCCAGAAAGCACATGTGTCACAATAAAAAAAAAAAAATCTATGAGCAATATACTAAAAAGATAATGTAAGTTCTATGACTCAACACACAGAAGAGTTACAAAGCAATAAATGATAACATGCTTGTATTTTTGACATGTTAATGATTTTGACTGCACTTTAAGTAAAAAATTATATAACGTGTTTTCATTTTTCAAATCAATAGCCTGAACCTGCTGGTATGGTGGCACATGCCTATCATCCTAGCACACAGGAGGCTCAGGAAACAGGATCACTCCAAGTTCAAAATCAGCCTGGGCTAGTAGTAGCTGCTGTCATCCTGAAATATAGTGAGACCCTGTCTCAAAAACAAACAGCATATATATATATATATATATATATATATGTATTTTTTTTCCACAACAAAATGGTCCTTTATTTATATCCCCCTGTTTTGCTTTGTTTTGTCATCAACACAACTGGCAAGTCTGAAATTGTTGACTTGAGTTTTTTACAGCTCAGCATATTAATATAGCTTTACTTTTTTTACCTCGTGGTTACACTTTTCTGGTGGATGGTTAAGACCAAGTGGATAGATATGCAGCTATTTTCTCTTAGCTCATTGAGAAGAAAGGTTTGTACTAAAATTTTTTAGACAAGATATCATGTCTGCATCTTGTCCTCTGAATAACTAATAGGAAGACACCAATATGCAATTGATTATTGTAACTGTCCTACTAACCTGTTTTGAAACTGTTTCATTGCTATTGTGTTTTTTTTTCTCTTTAAAATGAATTTTTTTTTAAAAAAAGAAAGATAGCCCAATCTTTTAAAGCCCAGCATTCTCTCATTTTTGATGTAATAAATAATGGCATATAAAGAAGGAAGTTGGTATGTAAAAAAGACAAAATAAATGCTAAAATTATTCTGAAGTTTGAAGTATATATTTTTTCTTTCTAGGTGTTTTTTTTCTTTCCTTTTCTTTTCTTTTCTTTTCTTTCTTTCTTTTTTTTTTTTTTTTTTGTGTGGAACCAGGGATTGAACTCAGGACTTGCCAGGCAAGCACTTATTCTATTGAGCTAGCTCCTTGGCCCCCTCCCCCTCTAGGTGGTATTAAGATACCAATTATGTAACTAAATTTTTGGACGAGCATTCTGATTATTTATCATAAAATTCTAGCTAGACAAAATCCCTTTCTTATATGTTGTATACTTAAGTCATTATAAAATTTGTGTATTAAATATTAAATATTTGAAAATATATAATTATAGCTTTTTTCTTTTTTTTACTTCAGGTAATGATTTGCAGCTGAGTGACTCAGGAAGTGATAGTGATGGCTGAAGAAATAGTCACCTATAAATATAACATTTACAAGGCATGTGTTTATTTTGTATTAAATAAAAATGCTTAAAAGTGAGGAAAATATGAAACTTTTGATAAAAAATAAATTTGGTTAAGACTTTTACATTTTTATTGAGTGTCACACTTGTGTCTTATTATCTTCATTTAATCTCAACAGAACTTTTATGACAATGACATTGGGAAGAAGAGTCAGAGAGTAGGGACTCACCGCAGGCATTATTAGGTAAACAAGTGGAAGATCAGGTGGTTTAGTCTGAAATTCAATGTTCTGTCTTATCACATTGCTGTCTTCAGTTGTGAAGATTATTGTGACTTGTGAAAACTATTAATTTATAGTAAATCTCTATCATTTTAATTATATCCCTGAAACTTTTCTAGCTGATGTTCCTTAAGTTATGGTTGAAAATATTTTAATTCTTGATAAAATTAAACTATAATGAGGGTAAAGTTAAATAATGACTTCAATGAAATAATTGTTCTATTATTATTATTATTATTATTTGCTTTCAGGAGAAACACAAGCAGTTAAATGTTGAGATAATACTTATGAATATCTTTGAGCTTGAAAGAAATGCTAAATACTTAATCATAGTTAAATGTCATAACATATAATTGCCTTTTACATGTTTTGGACCAGTTTTAGGTTCACAACAAAATTGCACAGGAAGTTTAGAGAGTTCCTGTGTCCTCTGACCCCACCATGAGTACTTCATACCACAACAGTGGTATGTTTGTTATAAATGATGAGCCTGCATTATTGTCTGAAGTCCATCATTGATATTAGGATTCACTCCTGATGTGCATACTATGGTTTCGACAAACATGTATAGAAATATATCTATAATTCTGATAGCATCAGAAGAGTTTCACTGCGCAAGAAATCTGTGGTCTGCCTATTCATTTCTCTTTTCTTTCCAATTTCTGGCAACTACTAATATTTTCATATCTCTATAATTTTGCCTTTTCCTGAATGGCATAACTAAAATCATTTAGTATATTATTCAGCTTTTGTATTGCTGGGACAAAATACCTGATACCTTCAACTTAAAGGGCATGGTTTAATTTGGTTTACAGTTGGAGAGCTTTCATTCAGTCCACAGCTGGCAGACTCCAAGGCAGAAGTGTCATGACAGAAAGGCAGGGTGGAGCCTAGCTTCAAATGCGATGGCACCTGGGAAGCAAGCACAAGAGGAGAGTGCTAGTGAGGGAGAGGCCCTCCGAAGGCACAGCCCCACCTACTAAGAACACGTTCAGCTGTACACTTCCATGGACTAATCCACTGAGGAGTTTAGTACCCTTTTGATCCAGTCACCTCTCCAGGAGGTGACTCTAAATCCAGTCAGGTTGATAATGAAGATTAAATGACACCTATAACACACAGCTGTTTCAGACTGGCTTCTTTAACTTCCAGTGTCCTATATATTTCCTCTATGTATTTCATGGCTTGCTAACCCATATTTGAAGGTTCAATAATGTTCCATGTCTGGGTCTACCACTCACCTTCCAAAAATTTGTTTGCTTCAAGTTTTGGCAATTATGAAAAACAGTTTTAGTTAACTTTACCTTTGCCACTGAAATTTCTGTAGTTTTTAAAAATAGATTATTTTTTTTTTTGCTCCAAATGCCTTCAGGGCAGGTTTGGCTGGCTTGAGTTGTGGGGATCGAACCACAGCAACCTGAGCCTGACTGCTTTGTTGAAGCAGCCACTTAAAGAACTGAGCTAAGGGGCAAGCCCCCTAAAAATAAATTTTGACTCTATTCTCCTTTACTCTTTTTTTCTTACCTATCTTCAGTTCGTCCCTCTTCCTTTGTACTTGTTTTAGTCATCAGTACTTAGCCAAGATCTATAACTATGTCATTTATTACTTAACCAAACCAAGCTCATACATTTAGTGGTTCATAAACATACTGATCATTTTAATGTACTAATATAAGTTACGTTGTTGTTTTTTTAACTGAAACTTGTGCTGAGATTTCCTTTATTGGAGTTAACTCTGCAGGCAATAAGAACATGATCAGGTGGAATGTTGACTATGTAGCATACATTATATTCTCAAACTTCTTGCTATACAAACTTTCATATTTGCTCTGGCTCTTCCTCTGTAAATCAAACCTTAAAGATTATTTTTATGAATTCATCGTTCTCTGTTTTTTCATTGTTACTGCATCATAATTTCCTATACCCCAGGTATATACAGTATAACTCCCATGTTTTTGTTTCTCATCTGGTGTATTTCCAGATGTAGAAAGCTAAACTGTACCTCTCTACCCCAAAATGCAGAGATCTTGTGGATTATACAAGTTCTTACATACAGCTGCTAATCCTAACATGACTCTATGCATATACCCTTTTAGGTTGATCTGTGCTGAATAGTTTGACTAAACTCATGATGATGCTTTAAGGATACAAGCAGGAAAAGTAAGTTGATTACAAAGGAAGAACAAAATCAAAAGGCTTTTAACTCTTCTAAAACTCTAAAGACAATGCTATATCTGTAGAAGAAGATGAGTGTGATCTATAAATTACATATTCATGAAATATCCATAGTTTGGTAAGAAGGCATGTCAGAGTTCAGGACTTAAATCACTATTCTAATTATTTTAGCAATTTCCAGTTTATTACTAGATGAGTCAAAAGAACTTAAGAATGAAAAAAATATTTAAAATGTAATTTTAAAAGGTTGAAAACTTCAGTGTCTTGAGGATTGACTACTTCTCTGTCCCCGATGAAGACTCAAAGGAGTAGGCAGTGCTCATCCCAGAAACATTTTAAACACAAATAACATCCTGGATGCTGGCCAGAGGGGAAATGTCAAGAGCTTAGACCTACTCTACTAATGTTGTGGTTTTAGCTGAGCAACTGTATTTTGGGCTGAGGTTATGCAGCAGGAGCCACATATGCTCCCAAGTGATTCAAGAATTCCTGACCATCCCTGAGACTTTGTACATGTGCTTAGGACACTGAGTTGGGAAAAAGGTTTTGTGTCCCATGTTCCATGTTGGAAAACTTTTGTGATCCCAAAATATGTGTCAATTACTTCCCCCCAGTAAGCAAACAAACAATTCCATAGAAAGCAGGCTGAATAGCCTCCAACTCAAAGCAATTCTGTAACTATCTAGAGATAGCATCAGATCCCACAGGTTAAATACTCAGTCCCCAAGAATGCTTCACCACCACTTCAGGTGATACTCTCAAGCTTTAGGTTGTTTTACGTGTGCTTCTGGATGGGGATTCTCATACCCCTCCCTTTGATTTGATTGATTGTTTCAGTGGCTTACAGATATTAGAAACATGTTTACTGGTTTATTATAAATGATATTACAAAGGATACAAATAAAGAGATACATAGGCCAAGGTATGGGAGAAGAAGAATAGAAATATTATGCCCTTTCCAGGTGTACCACCTTCAAGGAATGTTGTTATGGTCAGCTATAAAGAAATTCCCTACATCCTTTCCTTTGCGGGTTTTACGAAGACTTCATTATGTAGGCATGATTGCTAAGAGACTGGACGGGGACATCCACCAAGGCCTTCAGCATTTCTGCCTCATGGATATGAGGGAAAACCTTCTGGAATAAGGGTTTCATAACCTACTATCAGAGAAAGTAGGTCAGAAAATTTTATGGCCAGCTTTAAGAAAAGTAGAGGAAGATTATAGTTTCTATCTACCTTGGGGAAGAGAAAAATCTAGTTTGTGTTTCCTATCTTAGGGAGAAAAAAAACCCAGGTAAAAGAAGAAAATTAGGAGGGAGAGAGGAAGAGAGAGGGGGAGGAAGGGAAGGAGGGAGGGAGGGAGGGAGGGAGGGAGAGAGACAGAGAGACAGACAGAGACAGACAGACAGACAGAGACAGAGACAGAGAGACAGAGAGACAAAGAGACAGAGAGAGAATGGTTTGAGCCCTGCATCTGAAGCCTTAAGTGCTTGAACATTATTCTAATGACTTAAAAAAATGACAAGGTTATGAGAATAGTAGTGAACCAGGAACTATGGATGAAAACCAAACCAAAAAGGGCCTAACAAAAAAATAAAAAATAAAACCTGGGAGAACTTGAAAACAATGTGAAATTTGAATGCATTGCCCAACGCATACACCTCCATTAGCAAAGAATAAATCCTTATTGGTTCAAGGTTTTAGAGTACAACTTCTTTCTGGTTGTTGATCACTCAGAGCAATGCCCAATGCTTCACCTCTTATTCTGAAATATTGGTGGAAGAGAAGTGTAACTCCCCACCTTCTAGATGTTAGATATGCCAAGTTCATGTCCCCTGAAATCAAAGCATACATTCTAAAGGACAAAGGTTAAGAGTAGGAGGGAGTTGGATCCCTGGCTCCACATGCTGCACTGGACCCCGCCCCCAGGTGTGCAGAGCCAGTGATGGAGCCCAGGCGTGGTGGCGCTTACCTGTAATCCCAGCACTAGGGAGGCAGAAATCAGGAGTATCACTATGGGCTGTGTAGTGAGACCTGCACACACACACACACACACACACACACACACACACACACACACACAAAGTAGGAAAGACTTGTTTAGAGATAGCTCTTGAAAGAAAGGGGTCCCAGAAGTGGGAAGAAAGGGGTCTCAGAAGTGGGAGAAGTGGGTTTCCACAGAGGCCCTAAAGTAGGCCTCAAAAAGCTCTTCTCCATTCTCTCTTCTCTTTTCTCTCCCCACTCCTCCCTCCTTCTTCACTTAGCTGATGTTATGATTTGTGACTAGTTGTTCCCCCAAAGCCTCATACAGTTACTGGGATTGCTTCTAGAGATTGTGATTAATTCATGTTCCAAGGCAGGGATTATGGGTGTGAATGTTACCCCCACCTAGAGGTGGGTAATCCGCATACTATATAGGGCGAAGAGAAAGGCTTGCTAGCTGCTGCAGCTACTGGTTCTCTCTGGCTCTTGTTCTTTGCTGTCTCCGCTGCCATGAACTGCTGCCCTCTGCCATGTGCCACTCTGTCTTGGAGCCAGCTGAGTATGGACTGAAACCTCCACTACCTGTGAGCTAAACACATGTTTTCTCCCTTAATTTTGGGTACTGGGTATTTTGTCACAGGAATG